TCCTCTGATCTGATTGGTAATAAATTAAAATGGTGAGTGATTTCTCTGTGTCCTTATCTCAACCCACGAGCCTTTCGTTATATTTTTCTCTCAGTTGAGGAGGGGGAGTGGTAGAGTGGGCTTTGGTGGGCATTTGGCATCCAGCCAGGGACAACCACTACACACGCAGTACACTTATTTTGTATTCCTGAGCTGCTCCAAACAGGTTCCAGTGCAGCTTATTAACTCTCATTTCACAAACAGTGAATGCCATTAACACATGCCTAATCATGCCTTCAACTTTTTGCACTAAGTAACTACAGATTTAAAATCTTAGTACTTAAGCATTCCTGGTAATGAAAGATTGCTAAGATTCTCTATAAAAATAATTTCATGGCAAGCTCAATTCTCAGCAAGCTTAACACATACAAACACACAGGTACAAAATGTTAGATTTTTCTTCTCCATAACTGGTTGACCTGTCTTTTGCTAACAGGAACTGTTTGCTTTTCAACTTGTACACTCTTACTTCTGACTAACTGATTTTTTACAGTTAGCAAGATTTCAGTAACAGGCTAGCATTTCTAGAAAGCACAAGGAATAACTTTTTTCCCGAGTAGCATGATCTGCATAGCAATACTTGCAACACATTATGCTGGTTTAATGCATTTCATTTTTGCCACCGATCGAGTGTTTAAGATTTATTTCTCCTGGACTCCCACAAGTTGCAAGCTGGAAAATTTGAAAAGCAATACAGAAGACAGCTGTAAGAAGTAATGCAGAAGACAGTAAGCTAAATGTCAAACTACTCCGGAGTTCTGGAGTGTCTAACTTCTGAAACTAATTAACTTGGCAGTAATAAATTTTCCGCCTTCCCTCACACTTTTTATTCTCCTTTCTGTTATTACTGTCATTCACAAGCAACAGAATTCAACAACAGTTGATGATGTATATTAAAATATTTTTGTTGCTTTAAAAAAAGTCATATATATATTGCTCTCAAGTAACATTTGGTTCATTGTTGCCTGTTATCTAGCAAAGGGTCATCAATTTAGCAGTGGAAAGGGAAATTTATAATGCTAAACTCTTTGCCTAGATTGCCACTGCCACTTGCAATTCTGAGTGTCTCAGTTGAGAGAAGTGTCTTACAGGTTCACTCATCCCACTTTCAAAGGCACTGATGATGTTTCATGGTGTGTATAGTGTCTTGAAAAAATAAAAATAGCATAAGGACTGGATTACGTTTCTACTGAAGGACTGAATGCAGAAATACAACCTTAAAGCAGGATGAACTGTTAATACTTGAAATAGTGCCAAAGACTTTGATTATGAACATGCATGTTACAGCTCACAGACACTGACCACCACTGTGGAAATAAAAGATACAGCTTCTCCAAATAGCTATTCCCACCCATCTTCAAATCCACAGGATTAATTTCCCTCTCTCTCCGCTACTCTGAGCACTCAGGAAGGAGTCCACTTCTTCCACAGCTGCTGTCAGGGAAGGCTTGTCGCAGTTAACATCGTCAACCTACAACTTTCTGCTAGAAATTGTCCACTTAAACTGATTCTAGAATGACTAGGCTTATGATACAAGAACAAAGACAAATAAACAGTAGTAATAGCAAAATGATGTTACATATACAATTTATAGCATTCAATTTTCTCTAGTATTTCAATTGATATCAATATATTCAACAGATATCAATATACCTTGATATCAGCTTGAAATTGCATTGCAGTGTAAATATTTTTTTCTTATATCTGCTGTTAAATGGAAGTAGATAATAATTTAAATAGTTTATTATTAAGGCAACTAGTGAAGCTTTTTGGTTTTTCATTTGATTTTTTAAATCTTTTTACCAACCTGCCACCAGTTTGGATCTTCCCGGTTTACAATCTGAAGAATTTCTCCTTTGGAAAATTTCAAACCTGCTTCCTTGCATGGGATGAGGTTGTCATTATATGGATTATAATCAAAATGACACTTCACAAAAACCTGGAATGTGTAAGAATTTACAAAGCTTAAACATTATAAAATACATTCTTACTAATTTACCTCTCAAACTGAACAAATGTTTTTACCTACAGCACTAAAAGTTTGACATGAAAAGTCTGACAGGTTGCATTTGGTAAGTAAAATATAATCTATGGAAAAAACTGACATATACCAGCTGAGAGAGTAGAACTAATCAGTGGTGTAAACCTTGGCTGAAGTAGCTTCGTGATAAAAATAAGAAGCCAACTGTTCTATTTGAACAATGTATTACAAAACACTTATTTTTGCATTTCAGTATATACAACTCAGTATTCTGATTCTAAATTACTTAAAAATATTAAAAATTCTCAGAACGTGAGCACTGTATTGAAGGCTTGTGGAATCTTAGGAATTAATTTTGCAATGAACTGAATGTTTTAAAACAAACAAGATATTTGACTGCTGAAGACTGAAATTTGATGCAGGGAAGTTGCGTCAGTAGACTGGAATCTGCCTTTTTTTCTACCAGGTTGGGGAGCAAAGGAAGCAGCACACCTGCCTCAAACACAGCATATTCCCTCAGCATCTACTCAATGTAAGCACAGTCTATTATAGTCATGGGCATTAAGACCCACTACCTGAAGGAGTGTCTTACAAGATGGTTGAAATGCTCTAATCTAGAGCAACAAGTTACTTCTGCAGTGGGAAAATCGACAGCCTGCAGCAACACCAAAAGGATAAGGAATAGCCACCATCCAAGTTCCTACTTAAGTCAGCAAGTTCAAGATCGTGTGTTGAATTCAATTTGGTTTTAAATCCTCTGAAACAGATTCCTCAGACACTGATCATGTTATGAACACATGTAGTTCACTGCAGCTTAATGTGATTGTGGCTAGGCCATCAGCAGTCACTGGATGTCAAAGAAACATGCTGTATATGTAGCATACAAATACTTATCAATCTTGGATATTAATTAGAATTTTTTAGGCAGGCAGATTAGGTGTGGCATTAATCTACTGAATAAACTCATTTCCAAAATGTACTTAAAGGTGAATACAGGGTATCTATATTTTAGCCTTCTAGCTAGCATTAAATACACAAAATAATCAAAATATGTCTAATCCAAAATCTTAAAACAATCTTACGCAACAAAGCACTGAGCAGAAGTTCTTTTAACAGAATTGTTAGAAACGTACTACTGACCTGTTGAGGAACGACAGTGTCTCTGTAGCTGGGGAGGATCTTCAGAGTGACACTGCCACTAATGTTTTTCAGCAGTTCCTGCAATTCTTTTGGATTGTTTCCAACCTCATGGCCATTCACCTCTTTAATAATGTCTCCTACATGCAGAAGACCTTGTCGGTCTATCATTCCTCCATGAAGAATTCGTGCTATTACCAGATCATTGTTCTCAACTCGAAACGTAACACCCTGAAAGAGGTATGTGACACCTAGTTTACCATTGTTTGAATTTCCATTTCATTTTACCATTACCTCAAGCAAAAATATACAGCTATGGGATATTCTATCCACCCCAATGAAAACAGGCAGTAACAGTTACTACAGTCTAAGAGTTCCCAACACACAGACAAGCATCAGGTGACACAAAAGTGCTTTCAGACAAGGTTTTCATACGACTGAACAATGACTGTATTGTTCTTGATTACATGCAATGCTGTCATTTTGAACCAGGACCAAACAGATGTGTTAGTCAACACATGGTAAGCAAGCAAGTTGTTCAGCCTAGTGACTGCCTATTCACTATCCTGTAATTTCTTAAAGAAAACGGGATGGAGAACATACAAATATCTTCTTATTTCAACCTCTCAATACTCATCCTATCACCCATTAAATTACACAACATAATAATAGATATAATTAAAACATAATGCAAGAAATCAGGCACGTACAAATGTTTTCACTCACACTTTAAATTAAAGACACATTCATCTTCAATTACTTACCAGTGGTTCTCCTGCTCTTTTGTGAATTCCAAGGATACGGATAGCATCTACTGGAACAATCTGGTTGTTCACTGAAGAATTATTGACTTCTGGGCTAGAAGGAGGGGAATCGTAACATTTTGAAGCCACAATATCATGTGCTTCCAAGAGTGACTGCAAAGGAACAGGAAAAGCCCTTTTTAAATCATGAAATAACCATTTGCAAAAGGATTTAGTGCTGAATAACCACTGAATCTGCCCTTTTGGGACCAGATCATAAAACTCTTACTTCACATGGAATGGAGCAAAAATTGGCATTCAAGGACTCGCTGCCTTGGCAAATATACTCTCTTTTGTAAATACAAGTGCTTCTTCTTAAGGAAGTACAGGAGAAATGTAATGAATTTGTGAGGAGCATGTGATCTTGCAGGGAAGAAGATGGAAAAAGGAGTACCTAAAATAGAATTTCACTTAATGAGACAGTATCTGAGCAAATGGTTAAAGTAAATGAACAGCCCACTGCAAAAAAATGAAGATAACTCATCATTAGATACTTGTATTAATGTAATAAAATTTTCTTTCACAGTAATTTGTATAATTACAGGTATGCAAGGATTTCTAGCAATCTGCAGAGTAAGTGCTTTCTGCTTCCATAAAGCCAAGGCAGAATTCTAGCACCAAATGAATCCAAGTTGACAGAATTCACTTTCTGGAAGAGAAGAGCTCGGACCTTATAGTAAATGGTGTTTTCACCAGTTCACATACATAAACAGAGAGTAAAACAAGGAGATCCAAATAAATATAATAATCTTTGGAAGACAAGGCAACTTAGACTTGATTTTCTTGTAAAAGATACTTTAAGATTTAAAGAAAATATAAGACAATACATACAGGTAAAACAAGATCAAACTTGTGAAATTAGACAGTGAAGACTTTCTGTCTTAAGAGGAAAAGGGACACCCTATAGCCACCATATATGGTAGTTCAAGATAAAGCATCCTGTAGCACAAAAAGTCTCACTGACAGATACAGGAAGAGGAAAAGAAGCAAGTAGAGGAGAAGCCTACTAGGCCTCAAACAGCACAGCTTTATTTCAAATAGTGACCTGATGAGATACGGTCTTGAGTTAGATCACTGACTGGTGTCAAATAAGTAGCTAAAGTGAAGACACCAAGGACAGGACACCATAGGGACTATCACTGATAGTGCCATGTGTGTGCCACAGGAAGACATCAAACTACCACCGTCCTGGTTTTGGCTGGGATAGAGCACATTTTCTTCTTAGTAGCTAGAATAGCACTGTGTTTTGGTCTCAGCATGGGATTTGGTATGAGAACAATGTTGATAATATACTGATGCTTTTAGTTGTTCGGAAATCAAGGACTTTCCAACTTCCTGTGTTTTGCTAGTGTGCAGGTACAGAAGAAGCTGGGGGGAGCACAGTAAGATTAACAGACCCAAATTGGCATTTGGATATGCCAACGGAATATTCCATATCCGATAACATCACGTTCAGTATATAAATGAGGGTTGGCTGGAAAGCTGGGGCTCTTGCTCTTCTGGGATTGCAGTTTCGGGATCTCTATCCTGCTCCGGGATCACCAGCCAGGAACGAGTTGGTGGGTGGTGAGCAATTGCATTGTGCAACACTCATCTGTATATTCTGTCATTACTATTAATAGTCGTAGCAGTAGTATCATTATTTCATTTTATTTCAATTATTAAATTGTTTTTATCTCAACGTTTGAGTCTCCTTTCGCTTAATCCTCCAACTCCTCCCCATTTCCCAGCGGGGAGGGTCGGGGTGTGAGTAAGTGGCTGTGTGGTTTTTAGTGGCCTGCCAGGTTAAACCACAACAACTAGAAAGCAGCAGAGCAGATGAACAGGCAAAATTTAAGCAAATTTAACAATTTTGCTATGCAGTCTGCTCCATCCTTCCGTAAACCACCTCTAACCTAAAAGTTGTGCAACCATATTAGTTTAGTGCTGAGCTCAACAAAGTATCACAAACTCTCAAAGTATCACAAACCTCAACAGTAATTTTAATCTGTCCACTACACGATGACCTTGCTGATATTTCAACTTGATGTTGGAAGGAGGTACTAATTCACCAATTCTGCCCCTGCCATTAAGACTGTAAAGACAGCTGCTTATTGTGGCTGCTCTGATACTGTGGACAGAAACCAAATCAAATTAAATAGGAAAAACAATCATTTATTTAAATCAAGCAGCTGTCAGATGGTAGCAATTTCTAATTCTTCATTATCCAAGGCACATCCAATCCAGAAACCAGGAGAACAGACCTCTGTTTGCCAATGTTTGCAAGCAACATTTTTGGATCTTTCTGTATTTCCAAAATGAAACAACTAGCATCAACTACACATTTTAACACATTACCACTGACAAAACCAGGTGGATACACCAGCGCGATACTTCCAATTTCCTCTTTTGTTCACACACCAGAACAAATTGTTCCCAAACTTTCTGGCCACAAACCACTAGACTTCTCATGGACCCTTATGCATAACCATGCTTGTACTGCTCCCTGTCCTTAACGGTCATATAATTTATGGATTATAATCTGATCCACAGTCAAAAAAGAATACTAAATTAACAGTTTGTGTCATGTTTTTCAAATTAACATGCTCTGTAAGATTCTTCAGTTCTTAAATCTGTTCCCATTCCACATTCTGATCCTATTTATTCACTCAGTTTTATGGATAAGAATTCGTTCTTTCAACAACAACTTAACCATCTCTAATCACAAAATCTTTTTTCTGCTATTTACATGATGTCTGAATCACAGAAGGACTATCAGGGACTGTACTGCTGCCCACAATTATAAAATGGTTTATTTAATAAAAGCAGTCTACTGGTTTCCTTACAACAAGACACAGTTAACTTATTACCTTCCCATACCTAATTCTCAGTTCTGAAACTCAAGAGTCTATACCAGTTTTACAAGACTGCTTCCAGCCAGCCAGGTGACAGTGTACAGTCCTGAAGAACACTTAAACAAAGCCATCTGGCAACAGGGGCCATGTGTCTGCAACCACTGTTGGACTACTCTCCAATATTTTATGTTGCTCACAGTTACTTTCTTATTTCAGTAATATGGTTGAGTGATCTGAGAAATATAGTTGCATGAACTTCACTTGTTTCTTTCTTAAGGTATCGGAAAAAAGGATACCCTGTGCTCCTGCAACTCCAGTGCTCCCCTGGAATCCAGCCTTTCCCATACTGGTGCTAGAACATTTATAAAACCACTGACAAAGGTCTGCAAAATAACACAAACTGGATAATCAACATCCATAAGACAGTTCAAAGTCTCCTCCACACCGCATATGTATGCATGCTACGTAAGCAGGATCAGCTGACTATCCAAGACTGGATAACTGTAGAAAAGTTCTCATGGAAAAAATGGCAACGTTGCTGGAATAAGGCATTTAGAGGAACTCTCTGCATATCACAAGAGATACCACACAACGGACATAAAGTGGGATTGTTACAAGGCATGAATATGTGGGAAAAATAACCCTATAAATTAAGATCTGTCTAGAAGGCAACCTAAGATCACTTTTCCAAATGAAACATTTTAAAGTTCTGATTAGCCATTGTAAAGCTAACTATTAGAAGAAAATATAGGATACTTTTCAGATTAAGTATTTTATTGTCAGCAGAATCTACTATTTAGAGTGTATGGCTTGCATGATTCTTGGAAAGGTGAAAGTAACTGAACAAGTTCTTAACAAAACAGCATAGTCTCCACTCTGCTGGGGGATGTTGTGAATGCCAGATTTCTACATGGGTCCAAAAATCCAACAGAACAAACTGATGGAAGAGAACACCACCACAGGTGGATGATACTACTTCTCACTCAGAAGTCTGAGCCATAAATTCTCCTTGCAGTCTTCACTAGATGCCTACTGCCAGGGAAAGGGAAGGAAAATAGAAGAGATACTTGTTAAAGAGACCTTTAACATGCAATTAGGAAGCACTAACACAAGAACAGAGCAAAACTGTAAAGTTAAGGTAGCGTATATGCAATTTCAAGTCTGCTCTTTATAAATCAAACAACAAAAAGTGTACAAGACGTAGCATAAATATTGGCATTTTTGTTCACCAGCTACTTTGGAACTTTTAAATTAAATGTGTAAGTTGCTTAAGCCTGAACTAATGGAGTAACTGACACCAGCATCATGTTGTGCCTCTCTGTAAATACGACCACTGAACAGGAATGAATTCTGGGTTTGCCTTAGCGTTGGCTGTTCACCCCAATTAAAATTCTTACTTGATCTCGGTCTCCTACAGGCCATTTCCAGTCTCCACCACAAAGATTCTTTGCCAAGTTGATCTCTGGTCTTTGCCATCTCTCTTCAGAGATCATTGCTACAGTGCCTTTCAGAGTCAGCCTACTCCAGCAAGTTCTTCACTTTTTAGGTCCTTTCCATCTTTTGATTCATCCCCTTCAACTTGTCAGCTTTAGCTTCTCTATCTAACACGATGGATCTTTGGCAGGTCTGTCACTGCACCGGTTGGTCCCCAATTCCAACCTTTTTGCATCGTAACTACTGATTCCTCCAAACTCATCCTCTCCTTTTCCAGTACCAATTTCTGCTAAGGGATCAAAGACCGATTTGAAGGTTTATTCACCAGTAAGTCGCCAAATAATAGTCTTTGATCCCTTAGTTATGAAGCCCTTCTGGACAAATAAGAGCACAAGGGAGGCCAACATACTGCTCTTCAGAAGAGGCAGAGGAACTGTCAGCATTCAGAATAGCTACTACCTCGAAAGCTGAGCTCTAAAGTGTTCCTTCTTCCAACAGGCCACAGCTTGACAACATTTCCAGTTTTTATCTGTGTTAAATGGTAATGCACCTCACTGCTATGTTTGTATAATGTATAACTGAAAATTTAGAAAAAAAATGTGTTTAAACTCATATAACTCATAACCTCATATGTCTGTGATTCTGTACCTGTCTGCCAAAAGAAGCACATTTATACTGTGGCAAAAGGATACCTATAGCTAAGCACTAAAATCAGCTGAAGCCTGCCTAGAAAGCCCAGAATCTATCAAGGATTTACAAACCCTAATCTTCAAATGTCAGTACAGAAGCTGGTAATAAAATGGCTGCTATGGAAAAACATCTGCTTTTGACAAGTGTATGTCAAAACTTCATTTATGTAAAGTACAGCAACAGTGAGAGGGATGCAGAGTCTCACAGAAGAATCACATTCCTTCCCTCTGCAAAACTGTCCATCTTACACAGGAGTATGAATGTCAGGAATTGAGACCACCTGGAAATGCTAAGGATGAAGCCTTCAAGGAATTGTTATGGAAACTCTAGTCATATAGGAAGGTAATGTTTATCCAAGATTCATAACAGAAATTCAAGTGGATTTTAATACAATGAGTGAAGATATTCTTGAGGTGATGTCAAAGACTAAAATTGTGCTTATTCTTAACCCCACACGGCTTCTGTTTTACCTTTCATTCAGAATAAAATCCTACATATTAAAGCTTGCTATACTTCAGGTTTTGTTTCATTATTATTCCTAGATCCATATGTGGACAACAATACAGTTAAGTTGGTAAGTATAGTAAAAAGGTGGCACCTGAAAATGAGGCTCCTTGAGTATTCCAACCAATTCTGCAATATTTTCATCTTTATTTATTAAGGGACTGATGTCTTCAAGAATTTCATTCACCAGCTCCAGGTTGTTGTCACTGACAGCCTCAAGTTTAGAATCTTCCAGTCGCTCATGAGCCTGTAAAATTAAATATATGAGACTATATTGTAAATAAGTTTCAAGCAGTTACAATTTATAAACCTTTTAATTCTTTTCTTGGTTCAGGAAAGACAGAAAAAATACATACAGTATAATCTGAACCTTTATAACTGCTGAAGGATTTTGCACGCTTAAGTACGTGACCCAAGAAACTTTATGAGTGGCACCTGTAAGAGATGCTTATATGTCCTTATTTCCCATAACCTCTATGCTTTATACACACACCCAACAGTCCTCTTGGAACAGTACAGCACCTCCGATCTTTTCTGCTTCAGAACCCAGTACAAGTACCTCTTCTAGAAGTAGGACAAAAAAGGAATTAAGGGATCTGCTCAGGAAAAAAGTCTGCAAGAGAAGCATTTACCTCAGGCTCATCTCATTCAAATATCTTCAGAACAGCAAATTCCAAAGGAAGGTCTGCATAACTAAAGGAAATTCTAAAGAAAAGTCTGCAGCAAAGGTGGCTAACAGTATCCTGGGCTGCACTAAGAACAGTGTTGCTAGAAGGCTGAGCTCTATTCAGCACTGGTGAGGTCACTGTGTACAGTTCTGGACGTACTGGAGAGTGTCCAGAGAAGGACCACTAAGATGACGAAGGGACTGGAGCACCTCACATTTGAGGGCTGAGAGAGCTGGGACTGTTTAGCCTAGAGGAGAGAAGGCCCTGGGTGGGATGATCTCATCAATGTGTACAGATACCCGAAAGGAGGGTGCCAAGAGGATGGAGCTGGGCTCTTTCAGTGGTGCCCAGTGACAGGACCAGAGGCAATGGGCACAAACTGAAAAACAGGAGGCTCTGTCAGAACATCAGGAAACACTTTTTTATTGTGAGGCTGACTGAGCACAGCTACAGTTTGCCAGAGAAGTTGGAGCCTCCCTCCTTGGACGTAGTCAAAAGGCATCCAGATATGGTCCTGGGCAACCATCTCCAGGTGACCCTGCTTGAGCAGGGGGTTGGACCAGATGACCTCCAAAGGCCCCTTCCAACCTCAAACATTCTGTGATTCTGTGATAACTTCATCTCTTTCTCTTGAGCTATTGCTGCAGACATAACCCTTTCTTAAACACTGCAGAAACTCAAAATTCATTGAAAGGTAGGAGCTTTTAGCTGCAAGAGAAACATCTCATAAATCCGAACGCTTCATTTATTTATTACAGGCAGTGCTGTATCATAAAATTAGGGAATAAGAGGAAGCCAAAAATAACTAGGATTCTCAATGCACTCAATTAAGAGTTTTTTACAACACCGTAGCAACAAGAAGTTCAAACAAGAACAATTGCTTTGGCATGGAAAAACACAATAAATAACAGATATAACAGATATATTGGGAGTCATCTATATATACTTCTCATATATATAATTTGAAGGCATGCATAACACATCTACTTTCTAATTAGTGCTTTAAAACAGATTTTAAAATAAAATGTTGCTAAAACCGGCAGACTTTGCTTCCTGAAATCATCCAAGTATTAAATCTTACTTCATATCTATAAAATGATATTTCTGCAGGACTGATGATCAAACACTAGAAAGGTTAACTCAACACGGAGAAAGACATTTCTAACATTCCCCAACACCAACACGCACAAACCAAATGACCATGATGACAAAGTCATAGGAAGCTTGGCACCTACACACATTCTCCTTAGTAAGGAAATGCTATTTTGTACATAATATGTACAGTAAACAATATCCTTCTTTTAAAGCTCATTTCTTTTACAGCAAGTAAAAACACAAATCTATTGGCTTTTAAGCATACCCCAACTACAAAACCTTTATAAGATTAGAGAATATGGGTTACGTTCTTTCTCACTCATTTTCTTTAAAATACTACCACTAACAGAGATTACAATCTAAACAGAAATATCCTCACCCTTCACTCCAAAATCAAGGACATGTATATACCAGGAAACAGAAAGGTTCTCAGTCAGCAACCTCTGATCCTGTAATACGTTGAGGAGTAGCAGGATATGGAGTGGTATGAATAATTTAAATAAATAAATAAATTATTTTAAAAAGGAATAGCTAACTTAGATATAACCTTTTTTGTTTTTTCAGTTCAGTTAATTTCAGAAATAGTGATACTGAATTGAGTCTTCTGATTTATTTTATATTTATTATACTTGTCAAAAAGTGAAACAGTAAGGCTATTTCCTCCAACAATCTGACATCCTAAATACTGGCCTCGATGTTTATAGATTACTCCTAAAATGCTTCCTTGGTCTAGGTTAGGCATTCACCTGATATGCTGCAGGGTATGCTACAATACTGAAAGCAATAGCATGACTGCGGAAAAGAAGATAAAGTTTTGAGGCTCTAAAGAAGAGTTCAACAATCCAGGAGAAGAGAATTTTGATTAGACAGTTCAGTAGCAAAATCGAGTAAATTCATGCATGTTGCAATTTCAAGAACTGTTTTCCAAAAAGCATAACAATTCTAAAGGCTAGTTAGGATTGAGCATAAACATCAGTAAATGACAGGAAAATGCATTTGACAGTGATTACAATTACTTCCTCTTTCTCCTACCACCCACTGAAGAAAGGAAAGGTACAATAAAAAAACCTTTTCTGAAAAAAGCTCTCTAATTTCTATCTTGATGTCTTTATTCTAAACAAAAAAGTGTGAAATGAATTTAACACAATTTTAAAAGATTAGCCAAACTTTGCATTGCAAATTATTATAAACTATCTAGTATGCTTATTGCTTGCCTTCATTTTTTTTTTTTAAGGACTGAAAAGAAAAAATAAGCTTGTATGGCTCATGGCACATTTCCCTAAATTTCTTTTTGTCCTTTTTGGGATACTTTACATAATGATTAGTCTTAATAACTGACTAATAAAGGAAAATAGAAAAGCTTTTATGTTTCTGGTCTGGTCTGAAATGAATCTGCTTAAATAATGTGACTATTGCCTATTCTGTTAAAACTAGCTCTTCTAATAGAAAAACAAGTTTTACATATTTTTAGAGATAAATGGATATATATGAAATCCATATACTTAATGAAATGTATTGTCATTTTGATCCTGGCCTTATTCAGCTCTGGTTAGGACTGAGTTTTGGGGTTTAATTCCACAATTAATACAAAAGAAAATATGAGTGAGGTCATGCCATATGAAGACAATTAAAACCTTTCAGCATTCTAGATAAAGCAAGTTCATAGTTAAGACTTCCACATAATTGTAATTGGCCATTAAAGTACAAACTCTTGATAAGAAAAAAATAGTTTGCAATGAACATTTTCTTAATGATAAATATTAAATTAAGACCCAGCAGATACTGAATTTGGAAAAAAATCTATGTGAGAAAATGCTTTTACTTACTCTAGTAAATTTAGTACACAAATCTTTTCCTCTGCAGTCATCTCACCAGCAGATGAGACATATCCATTATTTCTAATTTTATTACTACACAATGTCTCCCACTTACAATGAATTTTTTGAACAGCTAAACAGAAGTAAATTCTTGCATGAATGTATGAATTCTTATGAGTTTTCCTTTCCAGATTTTTCTACGGAGCAAAATCCCTGCACAACAATCCTTTAGCTTTACACAGTATTTCATGCCTGCCTAGAGGGCATTACTTTCAGATGTCTATTCATATTAGAGAGACAGCTACATTTAACTGTTTCTTCCTCATGAAAGCTGATTATTTTTATGAAGTAAGATTAAGAAAGAATACAAATGCCTTGCATCTCTGTGATAGACCAGGACAATCTCCTACTACATCTCAATTACAGAGTCCAAAGATTTTTTGTAAATACCACCTTACCTATTTATAAATATGTACCATCTGTAAATAAAAGATTTTCATAATGCAAGACCAAAACTAAGGATAGCCCATGTCTCAGAGAGCTGACAATCAAAGGTCCCAGTATTACTACAAGATCCAGGAAAGGGAATGGAGAGAATATTTCACTCCATTCAAAGTGCAAATGACAAAAAGAAAACTTGTTTCACCATGGGGGAAAGAAGGTTATTGCTCTCACTTTTCACCTTTGGAAAAAATGCTAAAAGTTAGAAGGCATATCGGTTTTGCACACAGCAGTGGTCACAAGACTATGTTAAAACCAACTGCTTCTAATTTCAAGTATTTTCACATTTTTTTAATAAATAATTTTACCACATTATTTCTGGAGTCCCTGAATTTTTCTTCCTCTTCTAGATTCTTCCATATAACAATAAATCAGTGGGCACAGAAATGACATTATACCAAATCTTCACCTTCAAGAATGCCTTCAAGTCTTTTAATAAGACATACTGTACATAAAAGCAATTGTTAATGCCTCAATCCATACTCAATGTTCACACAATTTAAGAGTTAAAATATTCCCAGATTCTACTCAGAGCAGCAAGTTTAAGTACCTTAGCAAGTGATCTTACAATAGGGTTTTCCATAATTCCTTTAAGAAAAATCAGGTCTATTTCTTCAGCGCCTGTTGATGTTGGCAGATCAGTAAGGTTATCCAGGACCTGCTGCATGGCTGCTGGCAAAACAAAAACAAAAAGTAAGTACCAAAATAGGCTTGCATAAATAGTAAAAGCTCTGGAAAACACCACAATATTAATGTTAGAGATGTTAAGCAGCCAACTACATCTACTGAGAGCAAGTGGACAGAATGGAAAAATAACTTCTTGTTGTTTGAAAGGTGGAAATAAAGGATCTAACCAAATCCTTATCATCATAATCAACTTAAATCCACATCATCACAATCAACTTAAATCCACATCCAGCACATTCCTTTCAAGACTGACTACTACTTAAAGACTGAAAAAAACCAAACAAGTATAAACTATATATAAGGTATGCATAATCTTCCAAACACAATAAAAGCAATTCATTCATGATTCTTTGCACTCAATCTCTCTTTCAGAGTAAGTTTTCAGGCCTCATACGTACACCAAACAACTGCAAGTTTTACACTGTTTGCATGGGCAGACGTCGCTGTTCTTAACACATAGTTCCGAATCGATTTTTTTTAATCAAAAATTTGGTTTCAAGGCAGCTCTTATCTTGGGGACACTTGAATCCATTCCCTGCAGTCCTTTACAACCAGTTCTGACTTACTGCACTCCAACACTAAGTGTAGATGGTGCAGATGCTAACAATGGGAAATATATCCTACAATACAAAACATATGTGTCTGCCCAGTACACTCTGTGGAGATTTTCCTGGCTGTCTACAGACCCATAGAGAACTGCAGCAACTTGGGTGAGAGTGAACAACGGTACCCGAGAAAGTCAGAAAATCCCACCATCCCAGCTGTCCTGTCCTGTGAAGTCACTGAGGTCAGTGGTGAGAACTTATAACTGTGTGCTTCAGCTCTCCCATTTAAGATAAAGTTGAACAAAACAGACCTTTCATGTGAAGGTTTCAGTACAACAACGGGTTCAGTACGACACAGTTCTTGCACATTCGGGTGCATGTGCAGCAGCCCTTAGCAGGGATTACATCAGTTAGCCCTGAGCTTGCAGAGATGAACACGTGCCAGTTCAGGCTGAACACAGAAGGGGGCACCCCTGGTGATAGTTACAATGTCCTTTGCAAGGTAAACGGTCATTCTTTCCCTGTTCTCCAACATATACCTAAGTATTCTTACCTTGTAGTATTACCTTAGTAGTGAATAACCTATACTGTTCTTGTTTCTAACTGTATTCTTTTAAACTCTTGCCGAGTCACGTGTGCATGCTCAAAGAGACACAGACACAGGAACACTACAAAAATCTTCTGTTGAGATCCCCAACATGCTAAAAAGCATTAGAACAACCACTGTGTACTGCAATGCTCTGCATGTTGCACAGCAGCATATATCAAGAGAATTAGAAAGCCTATATGCCCCTTCTCCCACACAGGAATTTCCCTTTAACTTTCCTCATTGCTTCATAATGAAAGCTATTATGAAACACTGCACAGTAACAGAACAAACAGCATTTCTCAACACCTACTTTCTAATTTTAATTCTTTGTAGAAAATTCCATTCCAAGAAAAAATTTTGTACCCATTCTTTCTGTCAAGTGGAACGGACTTTTCAACAATCAAATCGTCTTGTGTGCCACATTTCAAGTATAACAATGTATGTCAAAAGATATACATTGTTAAAAAATATGTTTTAATTATACTTCTCACTTACAAAAAGTGAATCTTCTGTGAAACCATGAGTAGGAGGGAAAATGACACTTACTTTATGCTTTCAAATTTTGAAGCAATATTATTTCTATTTTTTAATAGACAAAGTGCTGTTAGCAATCACACATTACATAGTCACCAAATCAACCTGTAAATAGTTCACATCTTCCTCAGACGATGTATGTCCTATATCTTGACTAGTTCAGCTGCAGATGCAACTGCCTTGCTTCACATTTGCTCAGTTCCCAGCTATAGATTCATTACTCAATGCAGACATGCCAGCTATAGCATTTGTGGAAGTAGATAGAAGTTTCTGGCCAATTTACGTAGTGTACTAGGTGCTGCATAAACACTGCAAGTGTTATAAGCTTTCTTTACATTTTAACATTTTTAATGTTTAAACAGACTTCAGGTTAGCACTTTTGTTCTTATAATAATCTGAGTAAAAATATAAAGCTTCCTTCAAGACAAAGCATGCATCTCAGCTACCAGTTGCAATTCCAGCACCTGATGCTGACAGAGGTATGCATAATAAAGACATCTCCATGTTAATAAGCTGTTTCTTACATAGCCCTTTCAGAACTCTGCCTATCTTAGAATGATCAAATTAATAAATAAAATTCCTACATAAAAACCTTTATCATCAAGGAGAAAACGTTAAGCGCAACATTAAGCTCCACAAGAATGACTTTCAAGCTTTGTGCAGCTATACAGGGTATTTTCAAATTAATATTTTATTCAATAAAGCTTTCACAAATTCTAGCATCAAAACTGCTTAAGTATATTTTAGCATTCTTGGAAAGCAGCAAATATATTTATCAACATGCAGAGTTTAAAAAATCCACAAAGGCAGACTTGCATCCCAGGTGATCAAAACCAGCTAGTTTTAGAAACAGCTTCCTCTTGCTGTGCAGCTGATGGTTGCCTTCTCCCATGGCACAGCCATCATGGCAAGAGTCTTCTTAGCTATAAACAGCATTGCCTCAACATTAGAAAGAAAAAAAAAAAAAGGCATGAATGTAAGGTGGGATGAGGCACCTTTACTCAATCTAGATTGTTTATATTTGAACATAATGTGGGTCTCTATATTGCCTCAGTGTAGCCAGTTCCCCATCTTAAAGGGAAGACCTTTCTGAATAGTTGAATAAAAAACCAATACTGTTAAGTACCCTTTTATTTTAACCAGCTACAAGGCTAAGTAAAAAAAAAAATTAGCATGAAAGAAAGTTTTAATAAGCTTCAACAAAGTCTTTGCACCTGTTAACTAGTACATGGTATCTAGAAACCAGAGGAATGTTTATACGCTTCACAATGTTTCACCACTTTACATCCACCTGACAAAAAATTCATAACAGAATCAAATGTTATTTTTTAAAAAAGTCATTTAGAGCATCTTCCAACAGGAATTATATCAGCTGGCTTATCTTAAAAGCACAGACAACAATACATTTTGTAGCAGACTAGACTAAGCACTTTCATGTCAGTGTTTCACATTTATTATGCAAGTCATGGGCCAGCTTCAAAGGTAGCTCCTGTTTAATGTGAAATGCTACTATTTGATCACGTGAAAATAGCTTTGAAAGTCTAAGCAACATATTGACCTACATACACCTTAGATATTCATACATGTACTTTCAAACAATTTGATTTAACCAAAGACAATTTAAGAAGGGAAGGAGGGAGACACTTTGGTAAATGTATTACAAACCCTCTTTTATCTAGTTATTCAACAGGCTTTTGTTTATTCATTTCTAGGGAAAAAATATCTTATTAAAATACAAACAGCAGGAGAGCTGTTGTTTCCAGGCTTAATTATAACTATCTTTCAGAATAATGTAGATATACATGGAATTTCAAGTAGCAGCCTTTAAAACATTTTCACTTTTTTCTTTCCTGGGACAAAGCCACCTTAGCTCTTTTAGAAAAATATCTTTGAGCAGCAGGACTAAAAGCTGAAGATGGAAGTACTCACGCAGGAAAGTTTTACTTAAAAGATCAGGTTCTATCAAGCAAGAAACAGATGGAGCTGAGGAGTTTAGAGACCATAAAATCTAAATACCCTATCAAAAATTGCCTTTTAAGCCCACCTTCTCTCCTTTGGCAAATTTGCCCTTCAAGTGTTGATAGAGGCTACTCACAGGCAGGGGGGGGAAATATCTGCAGAACTTAAATGTAAGTCAGACATAGAAGAACTAAGGACTGCAGTGAACAAACATACATCCCAGTAAGCAGTCAAACAGCACAAACCAGGTTGTCAGGGGTGCCCCTTATCGTTGAATACTTTGGTGTCTGATAAAATGGGGGCTGGACTACATGAAAGGCCCCTTCCAACACAAACCATTTAATGATTATATGATTCTAAACAGCAAATGTGTGCTTTTCCTTCAGTTGAAAATTAATTGGGTCTCTCTTGCCTTTCCCCATCTTTTAGAGGAAACTGGTTATAACATACTAACTTTGAGAGCTCCACCATGTACCTCCTTCTCTCTCTGAAGACAAGCCTTTTTCCATATTAAAAGACCTATCTGGGTAAAATTTTAAATTCTCATCACAACACAAAAGGATTTGTTTTTGTGAGAACAACATGAGATACACATGGTTCACTACAATGGTTAACAAAACCATCTAGGAACACACCCATTACAAGAAACACACATTGACAACAGCCTCCAGACAGAATAGGAGGAAAAGAGCAGCAGAAACAGGCTCTCAGTTGAAGCAAGTAGTTGAAATAAAAGGATTCTTAGGAAAATGTGACAACAGAACTGAGTTTGAGCTATAACTCTGAAGAGAAAATGAGATTACAATGGGACACCCTCCACTTCAGCCCCAGGCTTTGGTAACAGGGAACATACACACACATAGAATTAATTTCCACAGTCAATTTTCAAAGAACATTTTCATAACCATATAAAGTTTAAAACCTCCAGCAAGACTCAGCAGGAGTGTAGTAGTCTGCTGTGTCCATGCATTGAACAATTTAATCCTACTATACATATGACCTCATACTCAGAGAAACTAGTTTGTCATTAGAACCCCATATCAAAAACAGAAAGAGGAGGGAAAGACATGTTAACAGCAAACACAGTGCATCCTGAGGTATAAGAATACAGAAATCCTAAATTTACTAATCAGAATTAACTCCTAATTCACATATAGATCTTCAAACAACCAAAGATGCTTCAAATTTTAATCTACATATTGTACCACACAATAGTAAATTCAGATCAAATAAAAGTAAAAGATACTATGATAACTCTTCCCTTCTTGTATTTGTAAGAAAAAGACAGGTTTTCACCAAGCTCTCAACTGTGTCTCTTCTACCAAATTTGATTTTACTCTTTATTTCAGTGCCTAATTCTTC